GGGTTGGGTTGGCTTGGGTTGGGCTAGGCTGGGCTAAGCATGGACTTGACTTGAGAGTTAGAACATTAAATATTAAATTAGTTAATTAGTTAATTTGTTTAGAAAAAAACATTAATTAATTCAATATAAAAAATTATTTAAATTCGGTTTTAGGTCTGGAATCGAGAATCGAACCAAACCCGTCGATTCTCGATTCAAATACCCATTCGGGTATTTAACTTATGAAAAACCGCTCGATTCGGTTCGAGAGTTTTGTCCAACTCTATTTACATCTTATTGTTAGATCATACTTGGGTCGAATATCAAGTGAAATGGTGCCTGATTTTGGAGCCATTGTCGAACCGGTTCTTGGCCCTGTGTTAGGCCTCAACGCGGAATTAATACTCCGGGGGATTCTCGTTAGACACGACTAGTTGACGTGTAGAGATAGGTAATCTCTGTAATCTTTTTTTTTTTGTCATTGAACCACGTCTACTCTAGAGGATACGGCAACGGAGTCACCTAAAAAATAATGGATTCTATAGTAATTTAACCAGCAAACTATAATTCATGCATCGACCATCTCATCATATACTAACCTAAATATTAGGTTTCTCATAGATCTTCGCTAGAGAACTCGATGTTGGGAAATAAGATAGATCGAAGTAATATATACGATACAATATGAAATATATGATCGTAAACAAACAACAAAAGAAAAGCCAAAAAATTAATTTACAGGGGAGTAAAATATTTTATTCAATTGACTAATATGTAGAAAACAAATACAATAACTGTACGTACACAATTATTCTATATTTCAATAATATAAAATTTGTGAGAAGCGTTTAGTATTTATAGAAGTGCATACTGAACCCTAGAAATACAACAAAGAAGGAAACAAGATGAAAAATCACGTGAAAGAAAGGAAACAATACTTTCCCAATAAAAAACAAGTGGAAAGAAGGAAAAAAAATATTTTCTAAAAAATCCAACATAATTTGAGTAAAAAAAACCCAACACTCGAGCTCATAACTCTTAAATACAATGTGTGATGCACGTTAAAGCAAACCAAATTTGTCAGTAGATATCTAAAATTTACATTTACCTTATATCGTGGTTTAACTCAAATTAGAAAGAGCAAAATCCAAATTTTATATTTATCGTAAAATGTGGTTCAACAAAATTCGGAACTCCTGAATTCAAACCTATGTAGGTTGGCCTTCATGATTTTCATCATGTCACAGTCCAAAAGTGGTACCTTCTAAAATGCAATGTAGTATTAATCGGATGGAAGTTGTATGATCGAAGAGCAATTCGTGAGTCAACATAAGTTCAATGAGTATAGTTAACTAAGAACTAGCGATAAATTTTCACCATTGAGAATTCTCCATTTAAAGCAATGGAATTACTTTGCTTTATGTCATAATCCAGTGGGCTTCGACTACTCCCACCTTTTAAGTTGGGAAATTACAAAAAAATCAGACTTTAATTTTTCAAATTCAAAATTCAGGTGTGAATTTTATTTAATCAAAAATCAGGTATTGAATTAATAATTAAATCAAGTATTAAATATTATATATCCACCCCTAAATAATTCAAACCCTAAATAATTCATTTCTCCCCACTCTCACCTACAATACCGTCCGCCGCCTCCCTCCCCTCTCCTTCCCCTTACCCTACCCCTACCCTTTCCCCTTCCCCCTCCCTTCTCCTCTCTGCTGGCGTCGCAACGTTGTCGTTCTCAGCGTTGAGGCGCTGCTGTGATGTAGTGAATTGCAGTAATGCCTTCGCAGCGGCGTCGCGACGCTGCTGTTGGTGTTTGGGCGCTGCTGTGGGTGTTTGGGTGACGCGGGGTGTTTGGGTGTTGCTGTGGGTGTTTGGGCGCTGCTGTGGGTGTTTGGGCAATGTTGCTGCCGCTCATTTTCATCCTTTTTTTTAAAATTTGGTTGGACGTGGTGTTGTGTGCAGTGTTGGTGGTGTTATTGTGGTAGTGTTTTTGTGTTGTNAGTTAATTTGGAAATCTGTGACCATGTGACCTATAAATTTTGATCTGTGACCAACTAATTTTGAAATCTGTGATCAACGAATTAAATGTGACCTATAAATTTTTTGAACTGTGACCATAAAATAATTTGTGACGTATACAAATTATTATTTGTGACTGAAAAATAATATGTGACTAATTAAATTATAAATCTGTGATCTGAATGATTGCCGAAATAGTTGCCGGAATGGTCGTCGGAGCAGTCGCCGGAGAAGAGTGGTGGTCGGAATGTACCACATGTGGAGTGGGTTTATTATATTATATTATATTAGAATTAAAAAAAAAAATCCGATTTTTGAATTTTCAAACTATAAATATGATTTTTGAATTGGTGTAAACTAAATACCTTATTTATGAATTTTTCTCTTTTAAGTTCGCTAAGTTCTTAGACTTGGAGAGTTACGGAAGAGCCCAGTTTTTTAATAAATATTCTCTTTTGTTATTCAAAAAAAGCAACGAGAAATAGGGGCGGACAAAAAATAAATAAATAAATAAAAATTACTACTAGGCTGCTGCATACATTAAAGAGAAAATTAAGCAAATCCCTACATTTTAACTATACTTTTCAAATATCAGATCTTAAACTTTTCTTTTCATAAATCAGGTGTTAATTAATATTTTAATAATATCAAATATATGAATTTGTTAATAAATATTTATTATACCCCACCCCAACCCAACCCAACCCAACCCAAATTTTCAATCCTCGACACTCCCAATTCATTTTTCTCTCTCTTTTCCCTCTACCCATTATCGTCGCCTGCAACCCAAGCCCTATTATCAATATTCATTTTCTTCTTTTCAATCTCTCTCTACTCTTACCTCACCCCCACCACCGGTGAAGATGTCGGAGAAAAGGGAGCAGTGATGTACGCCATGGGTTGTGGTGGACGCACCGAAAGCCAGCGACGCCGTGCAGTTTTACAAGATAGCCTTTGGAGCCGAGGAGTTGAGCCGCGTCATGCACCCCAAAAGGAAGGCTGATCTCGAGATTCCATTGTTCTCTCTGCTGAACTCAAGATCGGATCTGCTATTGTTGTTGATTTGGACCTCATTGATGACGACTCTGCTGAACTTGATTAACTTTTGGTACAGCTAATGGCAGTATTAGTAGTTAAAACAGTCTGATGGAGGTTAAGCTGCTCATAATCATGTATTGGTTAGGGATTTTGAATGATTAAACTTGGTATATGTGACCTTTTATCTTACAAATGGTAGTTATGTACTTATTACTTGATAATTAATTTCTCTGCTTCTCCGAAGTGATTTTCTTATTGCAAATATGTGGTTGCTTTAATTTTTAAAGCTGCATTTAGTGGTTTTAGAGTGGTTCCACTTGAAGCAATATGCAATGTTTTACCTTCTTCTTCAGGTCACATAGAGCTGCCAATATCTTCCATGTTTGGTTGTGTGTTTGAGTTTGGGTTTGATCAATAAGTGGAATGGTAAGGGTGTTAGTAGTGGAGGAGGGGCTGGCGGCTTGCCCAATTGTTTGAGTTTCAGTAGTAGTTAGAGTTGTGGGGATTGTGTTGGTGGTAAGGTTAGTTGCCTTCTCAGTCATTTGATTGTGACCGATTTTGTGTTGATTGTGACCGATTGTGACTTGAGGTTGACCTGGTCACAGACAGTCACACTCAACACAAATTTGGTTACAGTTAATCACATTGAATACACACTTGGTCACAATTAGTCACATACAGTCACGCTGAACATAAATTTTTTTCTCGATAATTTTTTTAGGAGGTGGAGGTAGGGGTGGGGTGGTGGTAGGTGGATCCATGGGTTGGAGGTGTGATTTTCAATTTTTAATTTTCTGGAAATTTTGAAATCACCGGAGCGGCCATCGGAGTGATCCTCGGAACAGTCGCCGGAGCGATTTGCCGGGGCCGTCACTTGAGCAGGTGCCAGAAATAAAGGGACGATGGTGTTGTGGGGTGGGTTAAGTGTCATGGGGTGTAAATAATTAATGTATATTATATTATATTTTAATATTTAATAAATTTATTTACTACCCGATTTTTGAAATATTTTAATAAGTTCATTATTTATGAAATGTAAAATTTAAAATTAGGAATTATGTATTGTTTCCTACATTAAAAGTAAATGGGCCTTGAGCTTGACAAGAAATTTTCACCACCAGAACGACAACTTACAAAATTCTTCTTCATTTATTGTGACGGGACCTAACATTCAAAACATCACTTCCGTCAGTTGATTTTCAATTACTATCAAGTGTTAGATTTGACAATTTACTTGATCAGTAAGCGTAAATACCTGTATAGTGTATAAAAAATTGAGTAGTGCTACATTTACAGTGCCTGTGCTAGGTAACACACATGGGGGTGGGGGTCACATTTTTTTTAATACATTGGGGTGGGGTCCTGTGCTACAGTGAGGGGCCTTGAAATTAAGCCATGTACGCAAGGCTTAATTCTAAAAAATTAGCAGTTCAATATTTAATTCATCTAATTGATCGTAGTACCATGAAATTATATAATTTATTTACATTTTAAGTTTATCCATGCAAAAGGAGCGAGATTTTTTGGGTTCAAATATAATTGAAATTTCTAAAATAATCTTTCGACATTCAAATTCAATAATTTTATAAATTGAAGTGAAAAAATAAAATTCAATAATTTTCTAATTAATCCTTCTGTTTAACACAACCAAATAAGTAAAATTTGATACAATTTTCTCCCCCCCGCCCTCCATTTTAATAAACATTCCGCATTCATGATTAAACAATGGAAAGAGAATCATTAGTGCATAATCACACAAAAAGGCCACTAAATATTCTAATCAAACATAGAAAATTTCAATTATATCTTTTATTTCCAAATTTAATACCTCAAATCTGTGTATATAAATATTGCCATTAGGAACGACCATAGTGAAATTCTAGCCCTAATCTTCTTTATTTTAATCTTTTCACCCAAAATTTGTCTTCCCACCTCTCCTTTTCTACGGCTTAGCAATGGGTTTGGCCAAGACAGCAATGGTTTTCTTCTTTATTATTAATGTTGTCTGTGTCCTATCCATGGCTATGGGGAATGTTGTTTACAAGGTTGGTGGTGCTGCTGGCTGGACTAATATTGGCAACGTTGATTTCAAATCTTGGGCTGCTTCTAAGAATTTTCATGTTGGAGACACCATTCGTAAGCCAATTTTTGTTAATTCATTTGTTTAATTAATTTACAGAGTGACAAGAAAAATATTGATCTAGTCTATCACAATTTTATCAATAGTAAGGTTAAGTTTGTTCGTAGGAGGATATATAGTCGACTCAATGTCGATCTCTGGTGTATTATTTGATGTTAAAGGATAATTATTTTGGTACCTTAAAAATGACTGACACTCACATGCGGATGGATAACTTTTATTATTTGTTCATTGCTTTTTAGTTAAACTTTAATCCAAAATCGACAAATTTTGCAGTATTTGAGTACAACAAAGAGTTTCACAATGTTGTCCGAGTGACGCACAAGAATTTCAACGCGTGCAATTCCACCGCCCCATATGAGACCTTTGCCACCGGCGCTGACTCGTTCACCATAAAAAAACCCGGCCACTTTTATTTCATTTGCAGCGTTCCTGGCCACTGTGAAGGTGGACAGAAAGTCGACATTAGGGTCTCTGCAGCATCTAACTCAGCCCCCGCATCCGCCCCTTCCCCCACCGACAGTGAAGCCGTGCCCCCGAGCCACGGCCACGGCCACCCCAGTTCATCTCCTGTGCTGCCAAAGTTTCAATCTCCAACAGTATCACCCTCACCAGTTGAGGCACCTGTACCTTCTGCTCATGCTCCTCATAGAAATGCTGGCGTGTCTCTCTATTCGTCGTGGAAGCTTTGGGTTCCTGTGGCGGTTCTGTCATTTGGTCTTTCTGCCATTGCTTTTTAGATTATGTGGACAACTAGTTTTAGCAGTTTATGATTAAAATCACATTAGAGTAGTTTGATTTCATTAAGTTAATGCATCGATCTGTCGTTGTACTTTAGATGACTTTATTCATCTTTGTTACCATTAATTGGACTATTTTATAGTCCTAAGCTTGAAAAATAAATTTGAATCTTGTTTAGTATATTTTGCAGTACTATATTAATTTTGCGATTCATTTGCAGTAGCAAAAAATTAAATAAATGTACAAAATACAATTCAGGATTAACATTCTTCTAAATCTTTTTGTTGTAATATGTAATTCATCATTAGTATACGTTGACTGAAAATTGTAGGGCAACTTACAGCACCGTGTTGGGTGGATTTGTCTGTCTGCTGGATTTATCTCGTCTTCTTTACTTTGCGAAACAGACGATACTTGGTGTCACGGGCGTGTTGCCTTAATTTTACCTAAGAATGCATATGAACGTGCATATTCAACTGCGCTAAACGATAGTGAGAAGAGAGGACTAGCATGATAGAGAAGAGTTTGTGAAGTTAGCCAAGATGACTGCCTGGAATCCGACATAAACACAGCTGCCCACATTTTCCCCGATCATCTTAGGGAGGAATGCAGGCAAGTCATTCTTGGCTACTAAACAAGCCTCTTCTCTTCATGTAAGCCCTTCCTTCCTCATTTCTGGATATTGATTTTGGGATAACAAATGTTTCCATTGGTGATCTGTATTTATAAGCCAAGAAATTTCGTCGGATTCTAATATTCTTGTGTAATATTGTTGACTCTTAGCTAAAATACCTAATCCATATCAGTATGGCAGCCCATGCTGGAATATATTCCAATACACATTGAAATGGAATGTCAATGATCTGAGAAAACTTTATTGGCCTCAATTATTTCTTGAGCCAATTGCACAATTTGGAGCATTAAAAGGGTCCCAAAGGGTTCACAATCAAGTACCACAGTAGAGTGGTACAAACCACAACCGACCTTCACCTAACACGGTCTACTTTTCTCATCCTTGACATTTGCGTCCCTTTTTATCGTTAGTCGTTGTGTGATTTATCCTTAACATACCTCTACGAGATAGTGACTCATTGATGAGTAGTATATTTAAGCAATTTAAGAAATATTAATATCCCATAACACTGTACATGCCCGTTATTTCCGTGTTACACATGCATTATAAGAATATAGATATTGATTACTTTTTTGTTTTAGAAAAAAAAAAGTTTATATGAGAATGCTTTATAAGTATCTTCCCTCGTCATCGATACCAACTCCTATACGTCTTCGCTACGCCACTAGCAAATGATAATTTAATAGAGTTTTGATGCATTCGATACAAGCTAGAAATTCATAGTCATTCTTCTCAGTGTGTGAGGACATGAAAAGGAAACAATTTGGATTGACTGCTTAATATTCGACTAATTGGTGATATCTGACTGGAATTACTGGCAATGAAGATTGCAATAGTCTGATTTGTTGCAGAATATTGCTGTAAATAGAGATTAAGAGGGTAGGTTTACAATTTTTGTGCTTGTGACACTTTTATAGCTAAGCATGCATTTATTGCTCCAAAAATCATGAACGTGTCTTGAGCAATTTACTTACTATAGTTTTGTATTCACTTAACCCATTCTTTGAATCAAGTTTCCCTTCAATTTTCCTCAAAATCATTCTTTTAAGTAATAATTGCGAGTTCGACTCTGTCGATCATTTTCTTATACTATGATACGTTCATGAGCTAGAAGGTATAATTAATATTTCAAAATATATTTTTTCCCCTATACCTCTCATAAATGCCACCTACATTTTAATACACCAATTTCCTTGTTTGACGACTCACAATATTTAGCCCATGTTTAATATCGATTAAAATCAGATTTTAATTTAAGTCAAAATCAAACAATCAATATTAACCACATATTTTATTGGTCCCACAATATTTCAATCACACATTCCATCAATTTTTATCAAAATCTATTAAAAATCTAATTTTTATCTCTACCAAACAAGGGCTTAATAACATATCTTAAAAAGATCACAATGTTTAATAGTTTTGTAAAAATAACTATATGTTTTACTTATACTATAATAAATTTTCATTTAATATAAATTTACCAATTATTTTTCTATTACTTTAATAATAATAATTTACATTTTCAATTGTACAATATACATAAAAGAAAAATTCATGCTTCTTGTATAAGTTCAAAGAGTATTGATTGTTTGACTTTGATGCTCATTTTCTTATACTATTATGACCATTGTTCATTTTATTTTCAGTATTAGTTTGCCAGCTGGATAATTAGTTAATCTGCTGGACTTTCCCGCTCTTTTCTTCCTCACCTATTTGTTGTACTGATTTTCCCTTTTTTCATTTCTGAGATGAATAATATCTTCAATTCTCTTCTTCATTCTTTCTATTGTAATATGGTATCAGAGCAATACTGAGGTGAATTGAACAACGTGATTTCACCTTCTTCATTCGCGTGATTTCATCTTCTCCTACTCTTGTTCATCATCATCATCATCATCATCATCTTCTCATCGTCATTCAGCGATTTGTTTTTCTTCTTCGAATCCTATTTTTTTTTCTCTATTTCTGCTCAAATCTGCAATTAATTTCTTGTTCATATCCATATGGAGCAAATCATTCCTGAAACCGGATCTGATTCACTGTCGACAACAAAACAAATCGCCATTGATGAACCTTTGAGTCCGTACTTTCTGCACCATTCTGATAGTCCCGGTCTAGTGCTGGTGAATCAACAGCTCACATGAGAAAACTATGGCTCCTGGAGTCGAGCTATGACCATTGCTTTATCCGTCAAAAATAAACTTGGATTTGTTGATGGACCTATGAAGAAACCAGAGACTGATGAAGTTTATTTGATTAATTCATGGATTAGAAACAATAACATGGTAATATCTTGGATACTCAACTTTGTTTCAAAGGATATTTCTGCCTGTGTGATCTACTCTACCTCAGCATACGAGATCTGGAACGATCTCAAGGAGAGATTTCAGCAACACAACGGTCCTAGAATTTTCCAATTGAAGAAAGAACTAATGAATTTAATGCAAGATCAGAACACAGTGAGTGTGTTTTTTCACTAAACTCAAAACTATATGGGAATAATTGAGTAACTTTCGACCAAACTGCAGCCGTGGTAAGTGTGTCTGTGGTGGTGTTCAAGAGTTGAATAAATACTATCAATTGGAGTACATCATGACGTTTCTCATGGGGTTACATGAATCACTTTCCCAAGTGAGAGGTCAAATTCTTCTAATGGATCCTGTACCATCAATCAACAAAGTGTTCTCGCTGATTTCATAGGAAGAAAATCAGAGGAAAATTCGCACATCTTCAAGTGATGTTAGTTTAGATGCAGGAGTTGCCTTTGCTTTCAGATCTGATAATGGTAGAGAAAATCTTAGCTCTGGTTTTCGAGGTGCCTACAATAACAGAAAGAAGGATAGGCCATATTGTACACATTGCAAGTACCATGGACATTCCATCGACAAATGCTACAAAATTCATGGATTTCCACCAGGATTCAAATCCAGGACACGAGATAATTTTCAACATTTTTCTAAAACTAACAATGTTAATCAAATTTCTGTTCATTCACAGATGGAAGAAAATTCTATGGGCCAGCAACCTGGTGTTGACAAGTTTATGCAGAACCTGAGCCCAAATCAATACCAACACCTGATGACAATGCTATCTACTTACCTGGCTTCCACATCACAACCCATCACAGCTGATTAGGACAAGTCTGAGTCCACATGTGCTCCAGGTATATATATGTCAAAATCAATTAAACCAATTTTTGATTCCAAGGACATATGGATTGTGGACTCTAGTGCTTCCAGGCATGTGTGCTCCATTGCAGCTGCATTCATAAACTTGAGACCTATCATTAAGGCCAACATAACTTTGCCTGACCACACATGCATACCAGTCAGTTTATGTGGTGATGTGAAATTAGGACCTGAATTGATACTACATGTTGTGTTGTTTGTGCCCCAATTCAAGTTCAATTTGCTGTCCGTCAGTTCATTAACTATTGGCTCTCACTTCAGTGTTCAATTTTTCCATGATTAGTTCATAATTCAGGAATTTTCCACCAAGAAGGTGATTGGCAGGGGTAGCATCATACAAGGATTATATGTGCTGGATGCCAAAATTTTTACTTCGAATTCTAATGTTTTTGTTAATTCTGTTTCTGCTCGTGTATGGCACAATAGACTTGGACATGCTTCATTCAAAAGATTAGACATATTGAAGGATCAGTTACTTTACAATTCTGAAATTTCAAATAGACATTTGCCTTGCTTCATATGTCCTTTGGCAAAACAAAGGAGATTGCCGTTTGATTCACACAATAACATTTCCAGTAATCTTTTTGAGCTAGTGCATTGTGATATATGGGGTCCATATCATGTGACTTCCCACTCAGGCTACAGGTATTTCTTGACACCGGTAGAAGATCATTCTCGATTCACATGGATCTATATGTTAAGGCAGAAATCAGATGTTGAAAAAGTTGTAAAGCAATTTTTCAGCCTAGTTGTTACACAGTTTCATGCTACCATTAAACTCTTCAGGTCTGATAATGCGAATGAACTCTCCTTTAAGGATTTTTTTGCTGAGAAAGGGGTCCTTCATTAGTTCAGCTGTGTTGAAAGACCACAGCAGAATTCTGTTGTTGAACGCAAGCACCAGCACATCCTCAATGTGGCTCGTGCACTCTTCTTTTAGTCCAAGATTCCCATTCATTTTTGGTCAGAATGTGTACTCACTGCTGTTCATTTAATCAACCGAACACCTGCTCCTATCCTGAATCACAAAACTCCGTTTGAACTACTACATGGCCACAAGGCATATTACTCTTATCTCAAAGTTTTTGACTGTTTGGCTTTTGCTTCCACACTTAGTGTCCATAGGACGAAGTTTCAACCTAGGGCCAGAATGTGTGTCTTTTTGGGCTATCCT